GCGCCCCCTGGACGCCGCCCCTGCTCGCGCGGCGCCCCTGGGGCGTCGCCCTTGCTCGTCGCGGCGCCCCTTGGGCCCCGTCCCTGCTCGTCGCGGCGCCCCTTGGGCGCCGTCCCTGCTCGTCGCGGCGCCCTCCCACCTAGCCACCGCCTCTGCCATGCACCAGCGCCGCCCTTGGAGCAGCTGCCCCTGGACCCTGAACCAGCCGCCGCCGCCCCTGGAGCAGCCGCCCTTGGACCCAGAGCAGCCACCCCTGGCCCCTGGAGCAGCCGCCCCCGGTGCAGCCGCCCCTGGACCTCCGCAGACGCCCTTGGCCCCTGGTGCAGCCACCCCTGTTGCAGCCGCCCCTGGACCCAGAGCACCCGCCCCTGGCCCCTAGAGCAGCTGCCCCTGGTGAAGCCGCCCCTGGACCCCGCGGCTCCGACCCTGCAGCTGCATGCGCCGCCGCTCCTGGACTCGGTACGGCTGCCTCCCTGTGCTGCCTGTTGCTGCCCGTGCCTGTGCTGCCTGTTGCCGCCCGTTGCTGCCTGAGCCTGTGCTGCCCGTTGTTGCCTGTTGCTGCCCGTACCTGTGCTGCCCGTTGCCGCCCGTTGCTGCCCGTACCTGTGCTGCCTGTTGCCGCCTGTTGCTGCACGTGCCTGTGCTGCTCGTTGCCGCCCGTTGCTGCCCGTGCCTGTGCTGCCCGTTGCCGCCCGTTGCTGCCTGTGCCTGTGCTGCCTGTTGCCACCCGTTGCTGCCCATGCCTGTGCTGCCTGTTGCTGCCCGTGCGTGTGCTGCCTGTTGCCGCCCGTTGCTGCCCGTGCTTGTGCTGCCCGTTGCCGCCCGTTGCTGCCCGTGCCTGTGCTGCCTGTTGCCGCCCGTTGCTGCCTGTGCCTGTGCTGCCCGTTGCCGCCCGTTGCTGCCCATGCCTGTGCTGCCCGTTGCCGCCCGTTGCTGCCCGTGCCTGTGCTGCCCGTTGCCACCCGTTGCTGCCCGTGCCTGTGCTGCCCGTTGCCGCCCGTTGCTGCCCTTGCATGTGCTGCCCGTCGCCGCCCGTTGCTGCCCGTGCCTGTGCTGCCCGTTGCCGCCTGTTGCTGCCCCTGCTCTGCTCCGCGCTGTTGCCCAGCACGCGCGGCTGCCCTGCCCGTGCCTATGCTGCCCCTGCTCTGCCCCCTCCCCCTTCTTCGTCTCCCTGCTGCGCGTGCAGCCGTGGAACGGAGGCTATGGGGGTGGCGGGTATGGGGGTGATAGGTGTGTGTGATCCCCTTCCCCTCCTCCTCTTTTCTCTCCCACTACTGCAACTGCTGCTGGGAGGGGGGGTGGGTGTGAGGGTGTGGGGGAGCTGGGGGAGAGGTGCTAGGGTTGTCGAGGAGTGTGGAAGGGGGATTTGGAGGACTGGGGAAGGTTCCAAGAAGAAGCCGCCTTAGAGCCAGCAGCTTCACCTGCCAGCACCTTCTCCTCATATAGTCCCTCCTCCTCACTTGCCCTCTCCTTCTACTGCACTTGGTGTAACCCTTCAAGGGGTGTCTCTGCATTAGCTTCTGCTGCAGGCAGTTATGGGCGAGTGTTAGAATATATCTGTAACTGCTTGTAGCTGTATTTAGTGTAGTTATTATAAACTTGTTGGTGGTGCACCTTCTTTGCATGCTTTGTTTGCTATTTGTACCTCGCTCAAAAGTAAACTCCCCACTCTTTGCCTAAACTCTCTCGACTCCCTTTGGCCTAGGCTACTAAGCCTAGGCCCTAATCTTACTATCTGAACACCTACGTCGACGAGGTTCCCCCTCCTAGGGCGAACATCGTCAGTGGCATGTGGATTTTCAGGGTGAAGCGGCCGCTCGGTTCTCCGCCTATCTTCAAGGCGCGCTACGTGGCTCGTGGCTTCAGTCAGCGGCAGGGAGTTGACTACTTTCAGACCTTCTCTCCCACCCCAAAGATGACCACTCTTCGGGTACTTCTGCACATAGCCGCTCACCGTGACTACGAGCTTCACTCTCTTGACTTCAGTACTGCTTTCTTGCAGGGCAGCCTGCACGAGGAGATCTGGCTGCACTGTCCACCTGGCTTCACTGGGTCTTTTCCTCCTGGTACCTAGTGGAGCCTCCGGCGGCCAGTCTACAGTCTCCGCCAGGCACCTCGTGAGTGGCACGACACATTGAGGACTACACTTGTGGCTCTTGGGTTTGCTCCTTCTACTGCCGACCCGTCGTTGTTTCTGCGCGACGACACTTCTTTGTCGCCGTTCTACATCCTCGTGTACGTCGACGACTCGGTCTTTGCCACAGCTGACAATGCTGGACTCGCCCACATGAAGTCCGAGCTGCAAAAGAGACACACGTGCATAGACCTGGGTGAACTGCGCAGCTACCTTGGCTTGCAGATCACCCGGGACAGAGAACAGCGCACCATTACCCTGACTCAGTCACACATGGTGCAGCAGGTCCTTCAGCACTTCTGCTTCACGTACTCCTCGCCTCAGGCCACTCCTTTGTTTACTCGCCACTCGCTCTCAGCTCTGCCTTCAGATGAGTCCGTAGAGTCGAGTGGCCCGTACCCAGAGCTTGTTGGCTGCCTCATGTACTAGATGACCTGCACTCGACCTGACCTTGCATACCCTCTTAGCATTTTGGCACGCTATGTTGCTCCTGGGAGACACAGACCAGAGCACATGGCTGTAGCGAAGAGGGTGTTGTGCTACTTATGCAGTACGTCGGGCATGGGGCTTGTGCTTGGAGGGCGGAGTCCGGAGGTCCTCACTGGTCACGCAGACTCTTCTTGGGCTGACGACCAGGCTACGCAGCGGTCGTCACAGGGTTACACCTTCAGCCTTGGTTCCGGCTCTGTTTTGTGGCGGTCTACCCGCTCGTCTTTTGTTCTCGGCTCCAGTTGTGAGGCTGAGATCTACGTAAGGGCCATGGCTGCACAGGAGCTACGCTGGCTCACCTACCTGCTGACTGAGCTAGGAGAGCCGCCTCGTTCTCCTCCAGTCCTTTACGTAGACAACAAGGCTATGCTGGCCTTTTGTCGGGAGCACAGACTGGAGCACAGAGCAAAGCACATCGCTCTTCATTACTTCCTTGCTCGTGAGCTTCAGCAGCGCGGTCAGATGCGCCTTGCTTACGTGGCCTCTGAGGCCAACACTGCTGATATCTTCACCAAGGCACTTGCGCCTTGTGACCATCAGCGCTTCTGTACTCTGTTAGGTCTTGTACCTACCTTGCCTCACTTGCTCACTTCTTGACCTTGCTTGTACTGTTACATATATATATACCTGCTCTTGCTTGTTTAGCGTTATATATATAAGAGTACTCATGCATGTGAATTGGCCTTGTGGCGTTGAACTTGTGCTCGGAATGTGTGGTGACGTTGTGATCCACCCTGAGCTTGCTTTGCCTTGCTTTGCTTGAGTGGTCTTGTGACCCCTTGTTCTCCCCCACTTTGCCTATGGGGGTGTGTCAAACTTATATGATCTAGCGTGTGTAGGCTGTAGCGGGTTAGATACTAAGGGGTACACAATTCTAGGGTTTCATATTTGTATCACTTTCATTCCTTAGTCAATTCATTCTCGTTCTAAGTTTCTCAATCTTATGCATTGACTTTCATTTCGACAATACTACAACAGGCTCGCAACTGTTTCTATAGACACTGGTCACTTTTTGTATTCAATGTATCATATCAATTTATACCAGATATATTACCATATCTTTAGAGCTCCTTGCAGCACATACAGCATTGTAGAGGTTTGATCTTAGGCGATTAGGTGTCGCCATGCGATCGGTCGATGACATCGATCTTATGCAGAGGAGAAAAGGCGAGCTGCAGAGGCGAAGAAGGCGGAGGTGGAAAGGCAGAGGCGGCCGCGTCGAAGCGTTAGGCGCAGAAAAGGGGTTTTTGTTTCTACATGCTAGTTCAGCCACTACGGTTGGCATCTTCTACCTTCAGGTATTATGCATACGAGTAGCTTCAGCGGTTACAGGTCGAAGACCAATCGGCGCTTATGTATAGGAGTTTATGCGGATTTTATGTCGACGAGGAATACATCTGCGGAAATGAGCCGCCGCTACAATTATGTGGGTATTCTGCGGCCCTAGGTATAGGTGGTAATTATGCATGTAAGTGGAGATCATTTTACCCCAAATGCATGTTCCATCAGTTTCTCCCAGTCAAGAATTTATGCCTACTGCCCAAGTATCTATGTAAGTGTGGAGATTATTTTACCCCAGTTCAGGTTTGCTGTCAAATATGAAACCCTTGTATACAAGAGCAATTATCATTTTACATGTTAAAACAGAACAAAAAAAACCTATGTTACAATAGTCGAAAGGAAAGCACCAAACAACCCATCTACCCCCTTCACTCCTGACCGCCGGTGCTGGTGTTCTCTCCCTCGACTCCCCCTTCAGCCCCTTCCCCTTCGAAGACGACTTCTTGCTCTTCTTCTCCTTCTTTGCTCCACTTGTAGTGTCCCGGCTACCCGATTTCTTCCGTAGGACGTCGAGGCTAGCGCCATGGTATTCACAAAGGCCTCTTGATGCCATGCAACATAGGCACCCAGAGTTCAACACCTTCGTCACCATCCTCGTCATCCACCTAGTATCGTCGCCCGCTCGCAAATCTTCCGGTAGCTCGAATCCAGGCTTCCTTGTCGTGCGCCTGATTCTGGACGGACTTCATTGTCTCAATTGCGATGCCAGCAACCGATGCAGCAAGCGACGCAAGGGCAGAAGGGATGGTAGAAGTGTCGCCGGCAGCAAACGACGAGGGAACATCAGAAATTGTGGGCTCAGCAGACAATGCTGTGGTAGCAGAAGTGGTGTTGGCAATAGACACCGCACGTGCAACATAAAATGCGATGGTGGTAGAAGTTGCGAGCATAGCAGATGATGCGCCCGTCTACCCTTGGCTTCGATCCACATTCGTCGAGGCATCCCACATTACCGATAATGTGGCTGCTAGTCCGACTGCATGTTCTTCAGCAGAATACCCATTATCTCTGTTGACGCTTCCCACATTCTTCATCCATGCCGTTATCCCAACACCCGCGCAGACAGCTACCCGGAAGCGATCCCTCTTTGCCTCCCTCTCAGCTGTGTTGGTTTGCACGAGGGAAAATCTGCACAAGCCAGCCATTTTGGTATATTAGCACCATAGAATGTCCTGTGTGTTTGGAAGATGCAACCTTTTCATCTCATGCACACTCACCCGTCCGGTTTCTCGAGGTGGAGCTCGTTGAGGACACTCCACACCCCTGTCAAAATCCTTGTTGCAAACAGCATGTCTTCGCGCCACGTGGATAAACGGCTCGGACTCATACCATACGCCACCATGTTAATGTGCGGGAAGTAGGTCTTCCAGCAGATTGCGACTGTGTAGCCCCTCTCCCACACGGATTTGTGTGAGCCGAGGTTCCTCTTCCGGCCGCCGACCGTCTGCTCCAACGTCCACTTCAGCAGTGCTCCCTCGCCTCGATGAGAGAACCCGCTTCCCCTGAAAGGCAGCCTCGCGCTCAGGGTCTTACCCATAGCGTCCACTCAGGCATTTCTCCTATTATCACACTTGTCAATCTTCACCCCTTTAACTTCCCCTTGGATTACCGGTATCAACTCCTGTATGCCCGCTGCACGCCGTCTCTTAGACGCATGACCCCTCGGCTCCCGGTCCTCCTCCCTAGGCCGCCTTCTGGACCCCTCTAAGTTCTGTCAGAGAACTATAGCCACGGCCTCTCCTACATTTGTCTCTCCCCTCTCTTCTTACCACACCCTCCCCAGGCCCTGAGTAATTTCCTCCTCCTCCCTTGTTTCCCCGCTCCCCTCCCCCTGACTTGTCGACTCCTCCTCTTCTATCTCCCTCGCCAAACACTCTTAGGCCATAGCCTTTACCTTTGCCTCAAGAAGCCTCTGTTCTTTCGCGTAGGACGCTATTCTGGCCCTCTTCTCTGCTCGCCGCTGCTCTCGCACGCGTTCCTCCTCCAATCGGCGCTTCTGCTCCTGCTCGGCGTCCTCTGCTTCCCTTCTCTCCGCCTTCTTCTACTTCCGCTCCTCCTCCTGATGTTTCACCCTCTGCAGCCTCTCCGCGTCCTCTGCTTCCTTCCTCTTTGCTTCCTCCTCCTGACGCCGCTCCTCCTCCAGCTATTTCTCCCTCTGCATCCGCTATGCGTCCTCTACTTCAATCCTCTTTGCCTCATCCTTCTTCCGCCGCTCCTCCTCCTGCTGTTTCTCCCTCTGCACCCGCTCTGCATCCTCTGCTTCAATCCTCTTCACCTCATCATTCTCCCGCTGCTCCTCCTCTTGCTGCGCTTTGCGTCCTCTGCTTCTTTCCTCTTCGCCTCCTCCTCCCGCTGCTCCTCCTCCTGCTGTTTCTCCCTCTGCACCCACTTTGCATCCTCTACTTCAATCCTCTTCGCCTCATCCTTCTTCTGCTGCTCCTCCTCCTACTGTTTCTCCCTGTGCACCCGCTCTGCGTCCTCTGCTTCTTTCCTCTTTGCCTCCTCCTCCCGCTGCTCCTCCTACTGTTTCTCCCTCTACACCCGCTCTGCGTCCTCTGCTTCAATCCTCTTTGCCTCATCCTTCTTCCGCTGCTCCTCCTCTTGCTTTTTCTCCCTCTGCACCCGCTCTGCATCCTCTGCTTCAATCCTCTTTGCCTCATCCTTCTTCTGCTGATCCTCCTCCAGCTGTTTCTCCCTCTGCTGTTCGGAGTCTACTCTCAGAACCGCTGTCATCCTCTTTTCTACCTCCCTTAGCATCCCCTCCTTAAACTCCGCAATCCCCGCCTTAATCTCCTTCACCACCCCCCTCATCTCCTTCATCCCCTCCTCCATCCCCTTATGTCGCCGCTCTTCGTCCTGCTGTTTCTTCTTCTTCCGACGCTCGGTGTCCTTTGCTTCCTTCCTCTGCGCATCTTCCTTTTTTCGCCAGTCCTCGTCTTGTTGTTTCTCCTTCTTCTATCGGTTGACGTCCTCTACTTCCTTCCTCTTCGCCTCCTCCTTCTGCCGCCTATCCGCCTCCTGCTGTCTCTCTTTCTTCTGCCGCTTGGAGTCCTCTCGCAGAACCGCTATCAACCTCTCTACCACCTGCTTTAATATCTCATCCTCAATCTCCTTCGTACCCGCCTTCATCTCCTTCTTCATCACCTCCTTCATCTCCTTCATCCCCTCTTTCATCTCCTTCTGCCTACGCTCATCCTTTTGCTTTTTCTCCTTCTTCCGTCTCTCCGCGTCCTCAGCTTCCTTCCTATTGGTCTCCTCATTCCGCAGGCGCTCCGCCTCCTGCTGTTTCACCTTTTCACCTTCTTCAGTCGCTCGGACTCCTCTGCTTCCTTCCTCTTTGCCCCCTCCTTCTGCCGCCGCTCTTCCTCCTGGAGTCTATCCCTCTTCCGCTGCTCGCTGTCCTCTCTCAGAACCACTAACAACCTCTCTTCCACCTCCCTTAACATCCCCTCCTTCATCTCCCCTCCCGATTGGCGAACCTGAACTTTCACGCTTATGATACTGCCCTGCAAGGTAGAGAGAGTAGAACCAATCTTCTCGCGAAACTTGGCCGTTGTATGTGCTTTCCGCTGCCGTTCCTCGTTTCCATGGCGGACCTCTGCCAAGTTGGCCAGGGCGTCGCGGCAGTAATGGACAGTCAGATCGGCGACGTCACAACTGATGCTCCTGTTGCGGGCCGTCAAGTTACAGAATGTCTGCGTTATCATTCGGGCTAATAGGGTCAGACGACGCGTGATCTCTGCTGGGCTTATGTCCCAGCTTTCGCCCTCAACAAACCCGTCACCTTGTTCAACCAGGACTGTACTCGTGAACCGCAGCATCTGCCAAATTGCCGCCTCTGCCTCGACCAACTCTACCTCCACCCACGCCTCCTTCTCCCCCTCCTGCAAGAGATTTGTCTCATCAGCTCTCTGACAAAGTTCTTGCATTCGCTCAGCCCGCCTCTACCTTGGAAGGTCCACTGTATCCCTCGGCACCCCATCTTCTGCCACTCTCCATGCACTATCAGCCACAATTTCTGGTCCCTGCATCGAAGTTCCTCCCAAAAACATCCGGACCGACTGATATACCGCATCCTTGCCTGTTTCATCTTCCTCTGTTTCCATCGCATTTCCCTCGCTGCGACTCACACCAGCCTCCTCACTCTCCCCCGCCCCCTCCCCCACCGTATTCAGCTCCTCTACCTCTGCTGGATTCTGCGCCCCTTCCTCTGCGAGCTTCTGCGCCTCTGCATCCTCCTTCTGCGCTGCTGCCTCCGCCTTCTTCTCTGGCTCTGCCTCCGCAAGTTTCTGCGCCTCTGCAACCGCCTTCTTTTGCGCCTCTGCCCTCGCCTTCTTCTGCACCTCTGCATCTGCCTTCTTCTGCGCCTGTGCCTCCGCCTTCTTCTGCGCCCCTACCTCCGCCTTCTTCTGCGCCTGTGCCTCCGCCTTCTTCTGCTCCTCTGCATCCGCCTTCTTCTGCGCCTCTGCCACTGCCTTCTTCTGCGCCTCTACTTCTACGATTTTCTGCGCCTTTGCCTCCACCTTCTTATGCGCATCTGCCTCCGCAATCATCTGCGCCTCTGCCTCTGCGTGCTCCTGCGCCTCTGCCTCCGCCTTCTTCTGCGTCTCTGCCTCTGCTAGTTTTTGCGCCTCTGCCTCCGCCTTCTTTTGTGCATCTGCCTACGCGATCCTCTATGCCTCTGCCTCTGCGTGCTTCTGCGCCTCTGCCTCCGCATTTTTCTGCGTCTCTACCTCTGCTAGTTTCCGCGCCTCTGCTTCTGCCTTCTTTTGCGCCTCTGCCTCTCCCTTCTGCGCCATTGCCTCTGCGAGTTTCTGCGCATCTGCATCTGTCTTCTGCTGCGCCTCTACCTCTACCTTCTTCCGTGCCTTTGCCTCTGCATGTTTGTGTGCCTCTGCCTCCGCCTTCTTCTGCGTCTCTGCGTCCGCACGTTTTTGCGCCTCTGCATCTGCCTTCTTTTGCGCCTCTGCCTCCGCCTTATTCTGCACCTCTGCCTCTCCGATCTTTTGCTCCTTTGCCTCCGCCTTCTTCTGTGCATTTGCCTCCGCGATCCTCTGCACCTCTGTATCCGCCTTTTGCTGCACCTCTTGGGACGTATCTGGCTTGTCGATGCCCGCTGTGCGTGCCTCTTTGACCGCCTTTCGCTTTACCCTTGGCAAACGAATTTTCAAGTATCACGCGTCCTTCTTGGTCCGCGTCCGCAGATTGCACTGATTATCTCAAGCCGCCTTCTCCGACTGTTTCCTTGCCAATTCTACCTCACTTGGTTGCTGCGGATCTTCTACACCCTCCTTGCCTTCCTCGAATACCTCCGCCAACTCCGTCTGCATCCCCGCTGTTGAACAAGGATGAATGAACTAGCAGTGAAATGAGTACAAGTAGGAAAACCTAGAAATGTGTACCCCCTATAGGCTAACCCTCTGTAGCCTAAATAACTACAACAACACATATAATGTTTCACACACCCCCATAGGCGAAGTGGGGGAGAACTAGGGGTCACAAGACCAGTCAAGGAAAGCAAAGCAAAGCAAGCTCAGGGGGGATCACAATGTCACCACACATTTCGAGCACAAGTTCAAAGGCCACAAGGCCAGTTCACATGCAGGAGTACATATATATATATAAGACTAAACAAGCAAGAGCAGCAATATATATATATATGTAACAGTACAAAGAGGGTCAAGAGGAGAGCAAGTGAGGCGAGACAGGCACAAGACCCAACTGGGTACAGAGACGCTAATGATCACAAGGCGGAATTGCCTTTGTGAAGACATCAGCAGTGTTGGCCTCAGAGGCCACTTACGCAAGCCGCAACTGACCACGCTGCTGTAGCTCACGAGCAAGGAAGTAGCGGAGAGCAATGTGCTTTGTTCTGTGCTCCAGTCTCTGCTCTCGACACAAGGCCAGCATGGCCTTGTTGTCGACGTACAGGACTGGAGGAGAACGAGGCGGCTCTCCAAGGTCGGTCAGCAGGTAGGTAAGCCAACGAAGCTCCTGAGCAGCCATGGCCCCTGCCTAGATCTCAGCCTCACAACTGGAGCCGAGAACAGAAGACGAACAAGTAGCCCGCCACGAAACAGAGCCGGAACCAAGGCTGAAGGTGTAACCCTGTGACGACCGCTGCGTAGCCTGGTCGTCAGCCCAAGAAGCGTCTGCGTGTCCGGTGAGGACCACTGGACTCCGCCCTCCAAGCACTAGCCCCATGCCCGACGTACTGCACAAGTAGCGCAACACCCTCTTCGCTGCAGCCATGTGCTCTGGTCTGTGTCTCCCAGGAGCAACATAGCGTGCAAGAATGCTAAGAGGGTATGCAAGGTCAGGGCGTGTGCAGGTCATCAGGTACATGAGGCAGCCAACAAGCTCTGGGTACGGGCCACTCGGCTCTACGGACTCATCCAAAGGCAGAGCTGAGAGCGAGTGGCGAGTAGACAGAGGAGTGGCCTGAGGCGAGGAGTACGTGAAGCCGAAGCGCTGAAGGACCTGCTGCACCATGTGTGACTGAGTCAGGGTGATGGTGCGGCGTGCTCTGTCCCGGGTGATCTGCAAGCCAAGGTAGCTGTGCAATTCACCCAGGTCTGTGCACGTGTGTCTCTTCTACAGCTCGGACTTCACGTGGGCGAGTCCAGCAGTGTCAGTTGTGGCAAAGACCAAGTCGTCGACGTACACGAGGATGTAGAACGGCGGCAGAGAGGTGTCGATGCGTAGAAACAGCGACGGGTCGGCAGTGGAGGGGGCAAACCCAAGAGCCGCAAGTGTAGTCCTCAGTGTGTCGTGCCACTCACGCGGTGCCAGACGGAGACCGTAGACCGGCCGCCGAAGGCTCCACTGGGTGCCAGGAGGAAAAGTCCCAGTGAAGCCAAGAGGGCGGCGCAGCCAGATCTCCTCGTGCAGGCTGCCCTGCAGGAACGCAGTGCTGAAGTCAAGGGAGTGTAGCTCGTAGTCACGGTGAGCAGCGACGTGCAGCAGTACCCGAAGAGTGATCATCTTCGGGGTGGGAGAGAAGGTCTGAAAGTAGTCAACTCCCTGCCGCTGACTGAAGCCACGAGCTACGTAACGCGCCTTGAAGACAGGCGGAGAACCCGGCGGCCGCTTCACCCTGCAAATCCACATGCCACTGACGATGTTCGCCCCAGGAGGGGGGACAGCATCAACGTAGGTGCCTGTGGACTTCCAGGAAGCCATCTCTGCATCCATAGCTGCCTGCCACTGAGACGAGTAGGGACCCTCTATCGCCTCCGCGTAAGAGCGTAGAGTCGGGATGTCAAGTGCATCCGGGTCTCCCTCAGGGGTAAGCAGTACGGACACGAGATGAGGTGAAGCAGTGGCCAAGCACTGGAACTCCTCCTGCCTATCCTCAAGGACGTCCGTGCCAAGGGCACACTCACCCCCGACGGACGGAGGACAGACAGACTCAGACTCAGCGACGAGGCTAGCAGCGTAGTCTAAATGACAGCGGGCAGCAAAGTTGACAAGCTCAGCAACTAGGGCAGACGCAGCAGTGGACTCAAAGGAAGGGTCAGTGACGACAGTAGCAAGGAGGCGCGTGATAGTAGGACTGGCAGAACGAAGAGAGTCCGACTCCGGGTCGGCAAGAGCAGGAAGAGAAGACTCAGGAGGAGAAGGTAAAGAGGCACGCAGAGGAGCAGTGGATGGACAAAGAGACATCCGGTGCGTGCCAGGGACAGGAGGAGGACGCTGACGCGAACCACGACCACTAGGGCGAGCAGGACGGACAGGCGACGCAGGGCGAGACGCAGGCTCACTACGCTTAGTAAGGCCTCCAGTAGGACCAGCGTAAGGAGAAGGAGCAGGGAGTGGGGAGGCCCGCTGCAACTGGAACTGTGACGGGACAGGCTGTCAACACGCTAAGGGAGGAGGACCAGGAAGAGGCAAGAGACCAAGAGCCTGCTGAAGGAGCGGAACGAAGTACGGCCGAGGCCGCGTGGCGACTCCAGACACAGCAGGGACAGCACCAGCACCCCCAGCGGCAGTACTAGTACCAGCAGGAGATCCAACGCCCGACTCCACAGCACCATCACTCGGGTCCGCAGCACCAGCAGCACCTCCAATGCCCGGGTCCTCAGTACCAGCCGCAGCACCAACAACAGGGTCCACAGCAACAGCCGCAGCTCCAACGCCCGGGTCCTCAGCACCAGCATTGGCTCCAAAACCAGGGTCCACAGCACCAGCCGCAGCTCCAACGCCCGGGTCCTCAGCACCAGCAGCAGCTCTAACGCCCGGGTCCACAGCACCAGCCGCAGCTCCAACGCCCGGGTCCTCAGCACCAGCAGCAGCTCCAACGCCCGGGTCCGTAGCACCAGCAGCAGCTGGGTCCGTGAGACGAGGCGCGCCACTCCGAAGTGTGCAGCGCCGCTCGTACCACTCACGGATCCTCTCACGGGAGGGGAGCTCCCGACTAGGAGGAGAAGTACCAGCACTAGTCCCTGTACTGGTCCCAGAGGTACCTCTCTGGAGGCTGCAGTACTGTAAGTACCACTC